CCCAAGGGTCCTCTCGTTCAGAGGCAGCTCTCACCCTAGCCATGGCACCAGGTGTGCAGCACAGGTCCCAGCTCCCTGTGTGACAGGGCCAGCAGAGCAGGGATGAGGCTGCAGCAGTGCTGGGCCTGACAGGAGAGCTTCTGGAGCAAAGAGCCCGAGGAACCATAGCTGCTGTGCAAGCACAGTGCTCTTCCTCATGTCACGCTGCCACGTGTGATGGGGGCTGTGCAGGTATCGACAGGGCCCTGGGAGGGCAGGAGGAGGGAGCTGCATAAGGATCACTCTGTTCCTGCCCTAATTCCAAACAGCCCTGGGCATGGGCCAGACTTGCACATACTGTACCCCAAACTGGTGTCTGAAGGGAGGGCTCCCCTGGGGGGCTGGCTCACGGGGTCTGCCGGGCTCACTGCTCTCCATGACACATGAAGGGTGAAAGGGCTGATCCTGCCTAGAGCCTGGGACAGGGCAAAAGCAGCAGAGTTAGTGCCTGCAACCTGGAAAAAGCCCAGTTGGGGATGTACAGGCAGGACTGTGGGCAAAGGACAGGGAACCCCCACTGTGCTGTGGGGAGGGTGCAAACAAGGGTGGGGGAATCAGTGCTTAGGGCAAGTACCACTGGGTCCTGAGCAGGGCTACAGCTCAGCGATGCAGAGCAGTTCAGCACGGGGAGCAGGGATGCCTCCCACCCCACCCCAGCCAGAGATGGGGCAGTGGCAGAGAACACAGCCATGGGGACAACACTCTCCCTGCCTGGTGTGTTTTATCAGCCAGGCAGTGAGTCAGCTCCCCTCCACAGAGCCCAGGACACGGTCCTACACCAGAGACCTTGATCCTAGGGCTATGCAGAGGGATACATTTGAGAAATTCCTCCTACCTGCATGTGTTGCTTCCCAGAGATCCAGTGCCATCTGGAAGGCCTGGGCCACGGTCAGAGTCACAGCCTGTGCCTATGTACATGAAGGAGAGGGAACATCTGCTTCCATCTGGGCCCTCAAGCCAGGACAACCCCACTGCCATGAAATCCCAGACCCCCCAGCATCCTTCACTGCCTTTTCCTGCAGAATATACAGATGGAAAGCCAGAGCTCACTGCTATGTCTGTCTCCTCCTGGAAGACAGCCACCCCCAAGAGGAGACCCCCAGGAGCTGAGACAGGAAACTACCCTTTGCTCACTCCCTGCACACCTGCTCCCTGGCTCCAAATCCAGTTGAGATGCATAGAGGGAAGGGCCTCTCACCAAAGAGGCAGAAGGCAGGGCCTTGTTCCCACCCTTACCTCACAGAGCCAAGAGCAGAAGAGAAGTGCTTACAATCTTCTTCTTGGGTGAGAGGAAGGCATGGCACTCTAGTGCCCCACTCTCCTGGCTCTGGGCAACGTAAGCGAAGACTTTGTTCTGCAGCTTGTCTGTTGTGCAGTAGGAGATCCTGTGGAGAGAAGAGCTGTCAGGGCACTCTGGGGCCTCAGCACAGGGCGTCTGCTGCACTCCCAGCACATCAGCAAGCACTGCTGACAACCTGAGGCTGTCACCTGCCCGAGCTGTCCAGGCAGCCCAAACCCCTAGCAAGGGCCTGAGACTGCTTGGCACCTGCAGCAGGTAAGAGATCACTGGATCCACAGGCATTCTCTCCTGCACCACCCAAGTGTGCTCTGTGGTCCTCTGATGCCCAGATCAGCCCAATGTGTGAATTCAAGCATTGAGATAAGGGGAGTACGGAAGGGTGACTGCTTCCAAGGACACAACTGGAGGTCAGGCAGAGGGATGGTCCAAATTTTACAGCAAAGAGATGTCCTGTCTCTGTTTCCCATCTAGCCACCAGTCTGCAGCCACGTTCCCCTCACACCCAGCACCCACAGACACCCAACCTAGCCAAAGCACAGCTTACAGCAGGAAAAATCAACATCAGCTCTCATAGGAACTACTTTTAGGCAGCCCAAATAAGCCGCACTTTCTGGCATCCTTCAGCCAGAAGGGTAGTCCCAGCAGTGGTGGCAGACATGCAGTCCTGTCCTAACTGTGAGGCTTTCCAACCACCAGCTTCAACATCCTGCTGAATGCCAGAAGAGACAAGCAGGGCACAAGGAGATGACGGATGGGCAGATGAACTCAAGGTCACCCAGGACCCTGCCTGCACTCAGCCCCAGGTAGTGCTGGGAGCACAGCAGGGAGAGGGCACAGGCCTCAGGGAGCCAAAGGAAGACCTAAGCTTGAAGGTATTGCTGAGAGTAGGCCCAGCCCTCCCTGTCTGCCCAACATCTCAGCTGGCTGCTGGGGAACACCTGGGGCCCCCCCACACCATGCCCACCTGTAGATAGAGACGTTCTCCACCATTTCCTTTGTGTCTGCATCCTGCAGAGAGATGCCCCTCGGAGACACTGTCAGAATCACCTTCTGGAACTTGCGAGCTCCCACCCGTGCCTGGCAGTGGGAAGACACCAGTAATCTCTGCAAACCTGGCAAGGGTCTTCACCTCACCCCCTTGCTGGAAGGAGCCTCCCACACTCTGTACAGTGTCACCCACTTGGACCCTTGCTGCAAAGGCTCCTGCAGTAGCGATGGGACAGCAGAGCCTGGAGATCAGGCATGCCCTGCACAGAACACTCTTGAAATCTCTTCACACTACTGCCATGCACACAGGAAGGGACAGATCCCACCTCCTCCAGTACTTCACCCTCTCTTCCGTGCTGTGGCAGGCACAGCTCTGCTCCCAGCTGGGTTCAGGTGTGGGAGCAGGTGGCAGGGACTGTCCTGCAGGAAGGCTGCTTCCCCATAGCACACAGGCAGAGAACAGCAGCCTCCTGCACACCACCCTACTCCTGGGAAGGGCATAGTCCCTGGAGCTCAGGGCTAGGACACGGACACTCTGGGCGTTCAGGGGCTGGGCTCTGACCCTGGAACAGCAGGGCCCCAGGGCTGAGTCTCACCGTGGCCACAATCCTGCGAATGGCAGCGGCAGCCATGTCTTCTCCTTTCGGTTTTTCTACCAGAGTCATGCCTAGATACTTCAGGGTGAAGCACATTCCCTCAAGCAGTGGCTCCTGCATATCGGCCCAGCTCTCAGGAAGCTCTGCAAAGACAAAACCCCATGGAAGCCATGTGCCAGCAGCTTCACGGCTAGTGCCCGCAGAGCCACCCCGCCTTGTTGAAGCTTCAGAGCTCCCCACAGCAGTGCTGCTCCCTGACCTCGGCAGGACACTCTCCTGGCTCTGTGACACTCTCATAAGAGGAACAGAAGAAGACAGTTCACCCTCGAAGCTTTAGTCCTCCAGCCCTGGATGTGCAGGCTTTGTCAGCACAGGCAGACAGCTCCTCCATATCTGCACACAACTGAGGATGCTACAGTGCTCACTGCTGTCTGCACAAACCTTGTGTTCCTGGTTCTCATTTGTTTCGTTACAAATAAAATGTTCTCAGTGGTGCATCCATCTCACCCACCTGAGCTGCTGGCACACCTCAGGAGCAGCAGCAATCAGTGCCACATGCAGATCAAAAACCCCAGGTTGCCCCGGTGTAAGCAAAGCAGGCTGCCAGGGAAGGGGCAGCTTGGCCAGCACTCGGGATCCAAGCTGCAGTAACTAGGAAGCAACCGCACCTCAGAGACGCTGTGTTAAGAAAGAGCTGGGAATTGCCTCGGTATGTACTGTTCATGCTAAGTTAATACTTTTCAGGGTTATTTTCACCTCTTCCCTGGGATTAGCTCCCTGAACATTACTGGCACACTTGCAGAAGGGTCCAACTCATAATTGGAATAATCTGAACCCACAGGGAAATCAGGAGACCTTATTTGCACAGCATACTCCTGCACAAGTGACAACTATCAGGGAGCCTGCCTGGTGCCATGCAGACACTGGTGACCTCCACCCCAGGCAGAAGAGTCCTATGTCACTGAACTCTGAGGACTGTCCATGCATGCCAAGGTGAGCACTGCTGTTCCAAAAGCCTTTGGGCAGCTGTGACTGAGAACAGCCAGACACAGCCCTCCCTTGCCACGGGGTGCCTGAGGGGTCATGAAATCATGGAGTGGTTTGGGTGGGAAAGGACCTTCAAGCTCATCCAGTTCCACCCCCTGCCATGGGCAGGGACACCTTCCACTATCACAGGTTGCTCCAAGCCCCGTCCAGCCTGGCCTCGAACACTTCCAGGGATGGGTCCGCGGGTCGGACAGCACGGACAGGCCTGGCACACTCGCTGCAGACCGGGGAGGGCTCCGGTGCAGCCCAGCGTGTTCCAGCGCTGGCGCGGCCGCCCGGGCCCGTCAGCCCCCGGCGCGGGCGGCCTCGGTTCATAAGTGGCGGCAGCCAGGGGAGCGGGCAGGGAGAGCCTGGCGAGCGGCCGCAGCGCCGCTGTGTCCCCTGCCCGGCAGTGCCCCGGCCCCTCGGCCCGGCCCTCCAGCCCCTCGCCCTGAGGCTCCACGTCCCGGCGCAGCCGCACCCGCACCGCTCCCTTCGGAGGGCAGCGGCCGCATCCGAGACCGACCGCGCCGAGCTGCGAGCTCCCTTCCCGGAGTGATGCCCGGCCCCTGCCCGCTCCGCTCCCGGAACGATGCCCGGCCCCTGCCCGCTCCGCTCCCGGAGCGATGCCCGGCCCCTGCCCGCTCCGCTCCCGGAGCGATGCCCGGCCCCTGCCCGCTCCGCTCCCGGAGCGATGCCCGGCCCCTGCCCGCTCCGCTCCCGGAGCGATGCCCGGCCCCTGCCCGCTCCGCTCCCGGAACGATGCCCGGCCCCTGCCCGCTCCGCTCCCGGAGCGATGCCCGCCCGCACTCACTGCGCCGCCGGCGGAGCCCCAGGCCGTGCCGGGCGAGGCGCGGGCTCCGCAGCACTGCGCGCCCCGCCGCCCGCAGCGCCTCCATGGCGGAGCCGGAGCTGGAGCCGAGCCGAACCGAGCCAAGGCGAGCCCTGCCGCTGTCGGCGGGGGGGTCGGTCCCCGCGGGCTCGGCGCACTCGCGTCAGCGCGGCGCTGGCGCCGGGGTTGCTGCGGCAACGGGGGTGGGCCGAGGCGGAGCCGGCGGCGGCAGCGGCAACCAGGCGGGCCCGGGGGACTCTCCCGGCCCCGGCCCCGGAGTAGGGCGCGATGCAGCTGCGGCACGTGCGGACCCTGCTAGCCCCGCAGGTCGGGCTGGGCTGGGCAGGCCGGGCCGGGCCGGGTCGGGCTGGGGAGGAACGGGGGAGCGGGCCGGGCCCTCCGGCTGTGTGCCTGCTGAGCTGTGTGTGCCCGCAGGACGGGACGGCTCGGGTGACCTGCATGGCCTGGTCCGCCAGCAGCTCCCGGTTCGCCGTGTGCACCGCGGAGCGCGTGGTGCTGCTCTACGACGAGCAAGGCGAGCGGCGCGACAAGTTCTCCACCAAGCCGGCCGACGCCAAGGTGAGGGCCCGAGGCCGGACGGCGCCGGGGCTGCCGACCTTCCCACGCTCACACCGACTCTCTCCGCAGTACGGCAGGAAGAGCTACGTGGTCAAAGGCATGGCCTTCTCCCCAGACTCCACCAAACTGGCCATCGGGCAGACGGACAACATTGTCTACGTGTACAGGATCGGCGAGGAGTGGTGAGTCTGCGGTGGGGTCCAGCGCGCTCCATCCCGCCCTGCTGTGGGCTCCCCGGGCCTGATCCTCTCCCTGGCACACTCTGCAGCGCCCATCACCTGACTCGCAGGGAGTCACCCAGGTGTCCGTGGGGAACAGCAGGTGAGGTTTCCTTGGCACAGCCCCTCTGGAGCCCTGTCAGTGCGTGCAGCCATCTGGAGCCTGGGCTGTCTTCCCCTGTGTCACAGATGTGTAGCTGTGGCACACGCCTGCCCCACTGCAACTTCATTTGCTGGCATGAGTTGTGCTAAATACACAGAAAGGCAGATCACCAGAATTTTGGAAGCTCAGAAATTTGGGTTCTTTTTGATGTTCTGCCTAAAGTTGTCATGGCTAGGCTTCGCGAACGAAGATTTGGGAAGGCTCTATCCACATTTGCTACAGGCACGCTGGTGGCTTATGAGGCCAATATGTGACAGACATATCCGATTACAAAAGGCACAGCAGAAAGACTCCTTAGATGGTGTATTCTGCAATACACGGTTCTTTCTGCGTTGCCTTTTCTCCTCGAGAGTGATCCTGCGAGTGTTCTCAAAGGAGACAGCAGCGTTATAGATGGTGTGTCTCCAGGCCTCCCGATTGGAGGCCAGAGTAGACCAGTTCAGATGGTAAGATCGACGGAGAGATAGCCTAAAGTTGTGATAAACAAGCAACATGCAGAAGTTCAGCAGCTTGTGTTTGGGAGTACCAAAGCAGACTGCATACAAATGGTGGGGTGACCAGAATGGGCAGTATTGCCAGCCTTGCTCATAGTAATTTTTGTCTACCTTTTTCTGCAGGGGTGACAAGAAGGTGATATGCAACAAGTTCATCCAAACGGTGAGACTCTGACTCCTGTTTGACTCCATTTTCTCCAACATATGTAGGAAAAGACAAACTTGGCCAAACTGTACTTGACCTCCAAAAGATGCAGGTAGATCCTAAGAGAATCTCTAAATTGTGAGGCATGTATTGCTCACCAAGTTGCAGAGGCCTCCTAATTCCTGGGTACAACACCACAGTTAATTGTTGAACGATCAATGCAGTCAGTTACAGAACTTTGGAGACTACTTTAGGCATCAGTGGACAGAATATTTTAGGGGAATTGAAAGGGAAAACCAGGAGAGACTCAGTGCCCAACTATTTTTCACAGGTTAGCAACTCTAGATCCCAAGATTCCTTTTTAAATAAAATGTAAAGGATGCAGAATTCAAACTATGTGGTTTCCACATGCTCTCAGGAGAAGGGCAGCCTCAGCCTGTGGGTTGAAAGCCTACATCTCAAAGTTGAGTCACGACCCACCACTGTGGCTGCTTTTAGGGTGGCTCAGGAGGCCCCCCTGGCCTCTCTGAGTGCTCCCTTCTGGCTGTGGGAGGGGAGCTCTTGGAAATCTGTGGCTTGGACAATAAGAAAGCTGCTGGTCAGCCTCTGTTTCTCTGTGGCTGAGCTTCTGCACTGAGTGGTCATGACACTGGAATAGTGTGTCATGAGGAAAAGAGAGCAAGAGGGGCTTGGTGTCCTTTTGTCCCTTTCCTGAACAGGGTGGTTGTCACAGGTGTGGACACCTGTAGCCTCCCTGGAGAGCCCTTTCCTTGTGTACTGCTGGCTGCCCACCCCTCTGGCTGGCAGCCTGGTGGGAGCCTGCTCGCCTCTCACAAGCTCGGATGCTGTGCGCAGCATGCATACAAGTTTTTGTATTTTTAATGTAGCAACTCAGTGATTTTTTTTTCCTCTCATTCTCTCATTTCTCCATGCCTTTTCTACCATTTCTAACGAAATAAATCCTTTATTTTTTCTTGTGCTATATGTGTGGGTTTTTACCACTGTGTCCAGCTTTCTCCTGTTATTCACAAATTTTTCATGTGTTCAGTCAATATGAGACATCGTTTATTGATCCCTTTCCCTCTCCTGCCACTGGGCATTGTTACACACCCACTGATCACAGTGGCACTATTCAGCCCTGCTGGCAAGCCAGGCCTCCTGCTTGAGGGCTGGGACAAGTGTGTGCAATTGTGACTGCCTTGCAGAAGCAGTGAGCAAATCCCCGCTTGTGAGGCTTGTTCCCAAGCTTTTGTTGTGTTAGACTGAAAACAAGAGTCTACCAGATAATGAGGGAAATACACAGATTCCTGGGAAACAGTGGTAATGAAAATGGGTCTTGGTCATTGATTGTGCATCTTAATTATGAACAGTTTGGGTGCCATGGGACATTTTGTTGCCTGATTGTAGCTGTGTTTGCTGATAGGAATGATCAGAATGGGGATAGAAGGTGAAATGAGTAAATGAGGGTGTATATGTATCTAAAGCATCCCAGATGCTTAAGATGGGACAGAAGAGCCAGTGAAACTGGTGCTGGTGGCACAGAGACGAACACCAGCCTTCTTACTGACTGGAGTTCTGCAGGGTAAATGTGAAGGGCTTTCATTAACTCTCTTGACCCTCTCCTACAGTTGGGTTTTGCGGTCGGCTTTATTTATCCTGATCCCACCTCAGATTTTGGGAATTTGGAACCAGATTTTGGGTTGTATTTAGTAGTGGCTAATAACAATATTGCTTGTCAATGAAAAAATAAAGGCTATTTCTGATACATCAAATGAAGATCCAAAGTGCAAGTATTCTCATAGCTATTAGAGAAGCTGGCAGTCACATTATTTTTATGTTTTATACTTGTTGCAAAAAACTTTTTAAAACATCCATGATTTTTTACATTTAACCACAGCACATGGAAAGACACATCCCTGTTCAGTAAGTAATGCTCTCAGAAGAGCTCCATTCTGAACACATCCGTGTCACTTTGTTGCCCTCCCTTAGCCCTTCTGAGCCCATTACTTTGCCCTAGCTCACTATTATCTAGTTTAAACTTCAGCATGCAGGGCCTCAGCCCTACTGTAAGGCCTGCCAAATGGCCTGTCTCTCCTGGCCTGAGTGCTGTCAGTGTTCATGAGCTGTCTTAGGTGGAAATGGGGCAGGAAGGAGTAGGATGGAGCTCCTAACCTCTCTTTTTACCTCCTCCTTGGCAGAGTGCCGTAACCTGCTTATTGTGGCCAGCGGAGAATGTCATTGTCTTTGGTCTTGCTGAAGGAAAGGTAGAGAAACTTGTTATTTGCCTGGGTTTTTTTCCATGCTGAGTTTGCCAGGGCGTGCAAGCACCTGGGCTGTGCAGGTAAGAGCCATCAACATGTGGCACTGAGCACGGAATAGCAACAAAGAGATTACACTGTGGACTTGAATCTTCTGATTCCCAGCTAGTCCTTGGAGGTTCTACTGGATCACTTGGTTCTTTTCCCAAGCCTTTCTAGAAATGTGGAAGTGTGACTCCAACTTTTCTGCTTCTCCAACCTCCTAGAAGGCAGTGAGCTTCCTGTGATTTCTGGTGCTGGTCATGGACTGGGAAACCTCTGGGGATGTTACACTGGGGAAGATCCACCTTCTGCAGACAGAAGCAACATTGATCAGATTCTCTCTCTCAGGTTCGTTTAGCAAATACAAAGAACAACAAGTCTTCCACCATTTATGGGACAGATTCCTACGTGGTCTCGCTAACTTCCAAGTGAGTATGGCGTTGCTTTGGCCTGCCCTGCTTTGGCTTAGTGTCCTACCCGCTGCTGGCCTGGCATAACTGGTGCCAGTATGGGAGGTTGCCAGAGTGTCCTTCTGCTGTCAGTTACTTGTCAAGATAATAACATTCCTTCTGTGCTCTCCAGAAGGAATTCCTTCCTAAAATCTGGTATCTGGCTGTGCCACAGTGGCCTGTGAAGTTTGATTGTCCCTCAAACGCAGTTCAGGATGAAAGTCGCCATGAGTTTCCTTACATACATTGATGTATTTTAATCTGTGACTTTATAAGGATTGCATTCATCAGCTTCATCTATCTAATTACAAACATTAATCAAGTTTAAGGGCTAAAAAGAGGTAAAAATATTACACCAGATAAAACTATGATGGGACTGTAATTAGGAAAATACCCATAAAGTGTAATTTAAAATTTTTCTAAATTAAGATTTCATTTTAACTACTTTAGTGTCCTTTACTTAAGAAAACTGAAGACACATCATGGTCCTAGATTTTCACTAAATGCTGTCATTCTGGTGACAGATGTATGATTTCTGGATTGTCACAGTGTCCATAGTATTTGTATTCTGTCCTTGAGTCTTGGAATCATCAAGACATTAACACTACAAATAATGAACTTAGGCCTGGAGTGTCTGTCCAGATGTTTTTTTTCTACACTGTGTTTCTTTTAGGGGTTCCCAGTGTCACAATATACAGCCTCACTTCTGGAGCAGTTCCACTGCAAGGGCTGTTTGATACACCTTGCCGTAAGAACTTGTGTGCAGAGTCACTGTTCCACTGAAGATCACTCAGCCTCTCTGGGTTTTAGTAATACAGAAAGTTGGTTAATGTGATTTTACATGATAAAGATACTTAACTGGCCACTCTCTACTCTCTGTACTTTTGTCTACTTTGTTTTTACAGACACTGGTACAGGTACTTGATATATCTTCTTCTTGTCTTTGGGGAAGGTTCCTTTGATGAGGAACCTTCATCAGCAGTGACCGTGGGACTGGCTCCTGTGGGCAGGGATATGAAAATAAAGGTGCAAATCTTACTGCAGCATTGCATCATACTGTCTGTTTCTCTGCAGTGTGTCGGGGAAGGGAATCCTATCTGGCCATGCAGATGGAACCATAGTGCGCTTCTTCTTTGATGATGAGGGCTCAGGTGAATCACAGGTATCAAAGATCCTTCTTCGATGAACAAAATTCCTGTTTGCACAGCCTGCTCCCCAGCTCGAGAGCTCTGGAAAGGGATCAGGCTATGGAGGGAGCGCAAGGCTGGAGAGGAACTACAGGCTGTGCTTGCTAGCAGAGGTTTTGGGAAGCATTGATGGAGGCAGAACAGTGACTAGATGCTTTGGAATACACTGAAGATGGTGGTAAGAGGGGAAGTTATGCTTTTGTGTATGAGGCATAAGGCTGTCCAGGTGTCTGGAAAGACCTGATGTTCAAGTATCCAGGACAATGATGCTTTTACAGGTAGGGTTCCAGGGAATAGCTATTGTCATCTCCATGCTAAGCAGTGTGTAGTTATTCCAGCTAACCCTGAATCTCAGCCTCACACTCTGTCTTTGGACACCCAGCATTCTGTTGAGCCTCCTGCTCCTCTGCTGAGAGTCTCTCTGTGCTTCAAGTTGTGGTGAAAGGAATGCTGTTCTCAGATCTCTTCACCTGAAGCAATTTGAGCATGGCTGCTCGCTGCTGTGACATGCTGAAGGCCCATCTATACTCAGCTATGTTGGGAGTTCAGTTCCAGTTTGATTAATGGTATTGTTCTTCTTACTGGTATCAGGAATCTTCTCTCGCGGTTATATGAATGGCCTAGTTGATACATCACTCAGTTCTGGTTTCTGTCTTCCTGCAGACTGGGGCAAGCAGACAAAGCTGCCCTCAAGAACTGGGCTTTACAGAGGGGTCCGTACTGGTCTCACTGGGATAGCTGAGTACAGAGGCCAGCTGGGGGCTGGGGCCATTTGGGTATTCAGGGTGTTTTTGTCTGTTGTAGGGTAAGTTGATGGTGCATCCCTGTCCTCCTTATGCCCTCGCCTGGGCTTCCAACAGCATTGTGGCTGCAGGCTGTGACAAGAAGATTGTTGCTTATGGGAAGGAAGGCAATGTGATTCAAACCTTTGACTACAGCTGGGACTTGTCGGAGAAGGAATTCACCACCGCAGCCACCAGTCCCGGTGGCCAGTCCATTGTCATCGGCAGCTATGACAGGTACCATGTACCTGATGGGGAAGTCTCCCCTTTATAGTGCTTCTTTTGTCAGCTGTACACAGTTTACATCTCTGCTCTCTCCTTTCTCTCACAGGTTACGGGTTCTGAACTGGAGCCCACGCCCCAGTGCCTGGGAGGAAGGCAAGCCCAAAGAAATAGCTCACCTGTACACTATCACAGCTTTGGCGTGGAAGAGGGACGGCTCACGGATCTGTGCGGTTTGTACCAGCAGTCAGCAGCCCTGAGCCGTGCAGTCCCATACCAGGGACATCCCTGCAGCCTGACACGTGCTCGTGCATGGAACAAAGTGGTGTGGTGCAGGGAGGGCTTTGAGCGGGGTCGTGCTGTCACCTGGGGGTGCAGTGCAGGTGATACAGTCACACAGTGGCCTGGGGGTGCAGGACGGGTGATGTGGTCACACCATGGCCTGTGCAGAGGCTGAGACCTTGTGCCAGGGAACTGCTGCATCAGGTGTGCAGACTGCAAAGCTGTGGAACCTCGTGGTCGTTGCTGTGATGGCTTGCTGGCTACAACAGCCCTCCTCTTTTCCCAGAAGCATGGGGAGGTCAGCATATCTAGTCCAGAGCAGTCTCAGGAGCATTCTTCTCTCTGAGCACCTGTGAGATGCAGTATAAAAGTTGAGCTGCTATTTACACTCTGTGTTTCTGTGCTATGTTTTCAGCTCAGTGTTGTCTTTCTTCTACTTTCAGCCATTGAGCCTTGATCTGCCTTTCTCTATTAAGTTAAATAATTCTTTAAAGGCTCTTAAAATTAATCTTTCTGCAATTTTTTCTTAAACACTGAAAATATTTAGGAAAGGTGTTATTTACAACTTTTCTTTAGTAGTTTTTGCATACTTTTGTGTTCAACAATCAAGAATCCTTGAAATATTTTCAGACCGAGAATTTTTGAACATGTAAACAAATACTTGCAGAGAAGGGAAGGGGGCTAAGGGATAGGAGATCAGTGAAAGGAATGGGGATGTTATAAAGAAAGAGATGAAGGTGAAAGGGGTCTGCTGGAAGGGAGGAGAGATTGGGAGGCTAGAGGAGGGACAAATGGGAAATTGAGAAGGATAATGGGGCAAATGAGGATAAAGTTGGTTTTTAACCCCTCCTCCTCCTTTCCCACATTCATGCCAGTGCTTGGTAATCTCTGTTTCTCTGAGAGTGGCTCAATCTTTCTGTTGTCTCAAGAAAGTCAGGGCTGATCCTCCTGCATCTGGGGGCTTGAGAAATGTTCCCCAGGACAGCCAGAACTGGTGGGTTTGTGTCTCACCTCTGATTCTCTTCATGTAAGCAGGGTCTGGAGTATCTCTCCTTCACAGAGTTCACTGACCACGTGGTGTGTTTGTGTCCTCAGGGCACACTGTGTGGAGGAGTTGAACAGTTTGACTGCTGCCTTCGCAGAAGCATTTACAAAAATAAATTTGAAATTACATATGTGGGACCAAGCCAGGTAAGAGAATATCAAATGAGGTATGAAATTCCTGATGAAAACTGGATGCTTGCTAGAACTAGATGTGTTTGGAGTTCTGCACCTACAGTCTGTTCATAGCTACTTGTTAGGAAATTCCAGGCACAGGGCCAAGGCTGGCTGGGAATTGGCTAGGATCAAAGACCATGGAGTTTATTTCCTAGCTTGTGAATTTGTGTGAGGTACCTCCACGCCAAATGCAGACTCCTGAAGTGGTTTAATTTCAACCAAATTTACCTTGTTCAAAATGAGGTAGTAAGGGTGAGCTGGCAGCCTGGGCACCCCTCTGCAGTCAGGGGTGAGAGTGCAGGACTCTCCGAGGGGATCTTGGCCTTGGGGGCCTGTGTAGGCCTCCAAGTAGGCTGGTAACTTGTAAATGGCAGAAGTGAGAGTCCCACATGTGTACTACAGCTGTCAGAGGAATGGTAAGGTTTCTTTCAAAAAGCAAAGTGAAATGATGTGAGGGGACATCTAAAAAAGTATCATCTGCCTAATCTTTTGTGGAACAAGAAGTCTGTGTTCTCCCTGTGTGTATGGCCTTATACTGCTTTTTCCCACTTTCTCTAGGTCATCGTGAAGAACCTCTCAACAGGAACTCGAGTTGTGCTGAAATCCCAGTATGGTTATGAGATTGATGAGGTGAAGATATTAGGAAAGGACAGGTATCTGGTGGCCCATACCTCAGACACATTGCTGCTGGGTGACATCAGCTCCAACAAGCTCAGTGAGGTACTGGGAAATCTGTGGCATTTCTGGAGTGTCAAATGCTTGATTCATAACTCAGAGGGTATGATTTCTGCATGGGAACAATACCTCTGTTTTCAAAGAATTGTAGAATCATTCAGTTTGATGTTCCAATGCTTTACTATCCTCATGGAGGAAAGCCTTTTTCCTAATTCTTGGTGGAATTTTGACTGCTATTTTATGACCATTTCTCACCCTTTCACGGTGCATCTGCCAAAAAACCCTGGCATCATCTTATTAGAGGTCCTTTAAGCCTTCCCTTCTCCAGGCTGAAGAAGCCAAATTCCTTCAGCCTCTCTTCACAATGTAAGTACTTCAGCCCTAAGCATCTTGATGGCAGTCTGCTGAACTTTCTTGTACAGGGAGGTCCCAAACTGGATGTTGTACATCTGTACATTCCAGATGTGAATGTATGAATCTTAGTGTGTTTTTAAAAACCAAAACAAAAAAAAAAACCCAAAATACCATTCATGCCTGCAGTCCCACAGCTTTTGCCAGTGTCATTTCTGGTACCAAACAATTCATACAAAGTTGTTCCTCCCCTGAGCCTCACAGTGCACAGAGCGCTGGGCCCCTGTGCTGACTCTGGAGAACGTGGGCATTAGGCCCATGTCTGATAAAAGTAGTAAATAGGCTTCAAGGACATATTTGCTTTGTTCACAGAGGTATCGTATGCTTTTAATCAGGCTACTGGTGTGCTAATCAGTCTCCCTGGGAGCAGGAGCTCTGACTACAGACTTGAGCTGGAGAATGGTGATACTTGGTAGTGGAACTGAGAGTCTGGCCTGAAAACTTCCAGGTTTCTCAGCATCTTACTGCACAGAGTTTTTCTTTTGGTCGCACAGCTATACTCACTTCTCAGAAGGAACAGGGTTCTGAGGAGTCCATTTGCCATCCTGCTGTCTCACTGAAGTTTGTTGAAGCAGTGGCTTAGAGCTCTTACTCCAGGAGGGAAGAGGGCAGCTGTAACTTTGGCTTTCAGTTTTCTGCTTCTCTGACCACTTGCCTGTTGTCATTACAGTACCTATTGTATTTTCCAGTGCTCTTCTCAAATTCTCAATCAGTTGTTCTCCCACTGGCACTATGCTGATCAATCATTTCTAGCATGACCCCAAAAAAGAAAGATTTCAACCACCTGTAGTGTGGAGATTCTGCTCCCACCAGTAGTAGCACTGATTCTGTGGAGAAGATTAATGGAGACAAAGGGCTGGTTTGGTGCTTTCTGTAATAAAGCTGGTTTGGGGAAGGTGGAGAAGTGCCTGTGAAGGAATGGGATAGAGTTCCTCAGTCACATAAAGGCCTCTTGTCCAAAAGGCAGTAAGATACTACACAAAGAGAACTGGAGTTTGAAGCTAAGGTTAAAGAAATGAAAGTATGGAATTTGCAGGCTGGAAATGACTGACAGCTGAAGTGCTGAAACACAATCCCTTCTGCAGTGTAACTCTTGCTGTCTGTTGTGGGAGAGAGAGAAATGGACAGTGCACCCCAGTGCCTGCAGCCTGGTCCTGGCCAGAGCTGGCAGCCTGTTGGCCTCACCCCGTGCCATTGCTTTGCAGGTGGCCTGGCAAGGATCCGGGGGGAATGAGAAGTTCTTCTTTGACAATGAGAACGTAAGTAGGATGGGACAGAATGTTCCCCATGAAGGATGAGTAAAGCGTATGTGCACTGGCTGGAAAAGTGTCAACTGCATTTCTGGAAAACCCTGTTTCTCAGAAGTTTCCTGGACTTACCCTCTCCATGCAGATCCCAGTCTGCTTCCTCCCTGTAGTTGCATTTTCCTCATGCCAGGTACAGAACAAACTCAGTGTGTGGACTGACATGTTATATAAGTCATAACCCTGAAGGAGAGAGGAACAATAAAAGCAACAGCCAGAGATGGTGTTAGAGATACAGAATACAGCTGTTAGGGGGCAACTTGACTCCTGCAGGACTGATAGGTCCAGAACTAAAATCCCCAACCTTGAGGAAAAGCTGACAGTCACAACAGGAAGCCAAGGACAGCTCCTTATTCATACCAGAGGGTTTGAATTTAGATTTGTGTTCAGCAGAGTTCTTTTCTACGCCTCTGACTGTCAGTGTGAGTCTCTACATGGCTTTTCTGTGAGAGTGTATTCCCCTCTCACTGTCAGGTCTGCATGATCTTTAACGCCGGAGAGCTGACGCTGGTGGAATATGGAAGCAATGACATGCTGGGCTCTGTCCGCACAGAGTTTGTGAACCCTCATCTTGTCAGGTAAGGGTTACACCTGCCCGTGTAGCCAACACAGGAGTTGACTGAGGGTGAGCTCAGACATATAACCTTGGAAGTGTCCCACTGTAGCATGCAGCCCCCAGACGCTGGGAGCTGAGTAACCCGCTTCTGACAGTGACCAGTGGTGGGTTTAGTTGTCTGGCTATTGGCTGTCAAGTTTTAGAAGCATAAGAGCCTCTCTACCAGTGATCCATGCTTAGTGCATGGCTGTTGCTGAAGAGGGATCTCCTGCGCACATTCTCAGGCAGCTCTGCATCCCAGCTGGTCCTGATACAGCATCATCAGAGACTCAGTTGCCAGCAGGACCTCCTCTGTCCCTCTGAAATTCCATACCCTGTTTTCTGCTTTGGGAGGAGGGTGGGTCGTGAGCTGCTCAGAGGTGGAAGCGATGTAACTAATCTGCTGTTGGGGACCCCTGTTCCAGAGGGGCAGCTTCTAGGGGAAAGCCACGGATCTGAAAAATTTGTTCTCACCTGAGGCAGCTATAGGTACTGGGCAAGAGTCACAGGTCAGGGAACTGCCATAGGCTCCACGTGCTTGGGGAAACTGTAGGGAAGTGTGGGAGGGACTGTGTGATTCAGATGTGAATTTTGAGAGTAGTGAAGGTAATAGTCATCATTCCCTTCAAATCACAGTGTCCGTATCAATGAGAGACGGCAGAGAGGCGTGGAGGAGAACAAGAGACTGGCTTACCTGATAGACATCAAGACTATAGCAACAGGTGACTGTAACCCTCCCTCCCCTCCCCTTTATTTTACCGGCCTTCCTGATCCCTTTGCATTTCCTGTGCCAGGCAGCATATCCCTGAAGGTCCTCTGCGTATTCCCTCTCCCAAGCAGCAGATTCCTGAAGTTCCCCTTCGCATTCCTTCTGCCTGGCAGCAGCCCACTGGACACCAGGCTGTTCTGCTTTCGGCTGTAAGGACACAGCCGTGGGTGGCTGTGGCCTGGACCCAGACTCTGTTCAGCGTGCGCTGAACTGCCTGCACTGCCCGTGAGGTGTGTGAGCTCACAGGCAGCAGGAGAGAGTTGCTGTTGAGAGGGCATCGAGATAAAATGTCACTGCTGTCTGGTTTTCATGTCACAGAGTGTTTGCCAGGGGTTTTGCCCTAATTAGGTCCCAGGCACCTGATTCCCACTGGACAGCATTGAATTTTCAGCACTTTGGGGTACGTCAAGTACTTACACAGTTTCCTTTTCTTCCTTCCCAAGTGGACCTTGTCGGTGGCTACAGCACTGGCATGATCAGCCACGACAGCAAGATCGATTGGCTGGAGCTCAATGAAACAGGCCACAAACTGCTCTTCAGGGACAAGAAGATGAGGGTGAGGCAGGCACCTCGGGCCATGTGGCAGGATGGCGTGTCTGGGGAGAGGTAGAGACAGACATGCCCGAGTGGAGGGAGGGAGGTGAGAAGCACACCTGAAGCACTCGTCATTTTTTGACTGCTCCTTTGAGAAGGATTGGCTGTGTCCAGATTGCATGAGCTGGCAGTGTTGCATGTTTGGTCTTGAGTCATAGCTAATGCTGACCTTAGTTGCTAGACATCTTGCTTCATCTCATCACAGCCGAAAATGAAAATCATAGATCCTTCTGCTGTACGTATGTCTGTGATATTCAAAAAGTCATGTCACTCAGGGGAAGCCCCAGGTGACTAGAAGAAGGGAAACATAGTGCCCATCTTTAAAAGGAGTGGCAAGGAGGACTCTGGGAACTACTGACATGACAGCCTTACCCCTGTGCCTGGGAAGATCATGGAACAGACCCTCCTAGAAGCTGTGCTAAGGCACATGGAGAATAGGGAGGGGATTCGGGTCAGCCAGCACAGCTTCACCAGGGGCATGTCCTGCCTGACCAACCCAGTGGCTTTCTTTGATGGACTGACTCCATCAGTGGACAAGGGAGAGGTTACAGATGTCACTCATCTGGACTTCTGTAAAGACTTTCACACGGTCCCCCACAACATCCTTCTCTCCAAACTGGAGACAGATGGATTTGATGGGTGGACCGTTAGGTGGGCAAGGAATTGGGTGAGCAGTCACATGCAGAGGGTCGTGGTCAATGACTCAGAGTCCCAAGTAGCATCACTGACCAGTGGTGCCCTCAGGGGTCCCTACTGGGGCCAGTGTTATTTAATATCTTCATTAATGATGTAGACGAAGGGATTGAGTGCACCCTCAGCAGGTTTGCAGGTGACACCAAGCTGAGGGTGCGGGTGACACTCCTGAAGGACAGGGCCATCCAGAGGGACTTGGACAAGCTCCAGAACTGGGCCCATGGGAAGCTCATGAGATGTAACAAGGCCAAGTGCTGGTGCTGCACCTGGGCTTATCCCACAGGGATCATGGGCAGCGGAGGAGGGGGGGATGCTGCCCCTCTGCCCCCTCAGCTGAGATCCCCCTGCAGAGCTGCCTCCAGCCCTGAGGAGCAACAGCACAAGGACGTGGAGCTGCTGGAGAGAGTCCAGAGGAGGCCACAGAGATACTCAGAGAGCTAGAACACCTCTTCTGTGAGGAAAGGCTGAGAGAATTGGGATTGTTCATCCTGGAGAAGAGAAGGCTCTAGAGAGACCTCAGAGCCCATTCCAGTACCTAAAGGGACTCCAGGAGAGCTGGAGAGGGACTTTGTACAAGGGCCTGGATGGACAGGACAAGGGAGAATGGCTTCCCCCTGACAGAGTGCAGGGTTAGATGGGATATTTGGAAGAAATTCTTCTCTGTGAGGGTGATGAGGCCCTGGCACAGGTTGCCCGGAGAAGCTGTGGCTGCTTCAGCCCTGAGTGTCCGAGACCAGGTTGGATGGGGCTTGGAGCAGCCTGGGATAGTGGAAGGTGTCCCTGCCCATGGCAAGGGGTTAGAACAAGATGATTTTTTCCAACCCAAACCATTCTGGGATTCTATGATTTCTCCAACCATTTTGGTACAAACTGAAACAGGGACTTTATTGTTCTCTTTTGACAGGTGTGTCATAAGACTAGCACAGTTCTCTCTTCTTTTTCTCATCTTTGCTAGATGAGGACAGTAATGACAAGGAACAGAGACATCCTATAGGACTTCTAAGTCACAAGACATCATATATCTTTGTTATGTCATGTGTCAGGTTACACCTTCCAAACTGTCAGGTTTGTTTCTGGGCAGTATATTCTACAAACAACCAACCTCTCACCTTATTGGCAACAGTCCTTGCAATAGGACCATGCCTGGGATGGACAGTTCAGCCCAAAACCTCAGAGGAAGACCCTTCTTGGTCCCTCAGTTTGTTTCCATGAAAGACTTAAGAGCCCATCCTCCTGTTCCAGCTCTGCAGCTGAGAAGGAACTGAAATAGCACAAGGTGTATTCTGGTTTATATTCATCTGTCCATGTCCTTACATGGACATGTAAGGGAGGCAGGATCTGAGCATTCTGCTTAAAATGCTGCAAGGCTTTAAAAAGGTCTTAATTCCTGGATAGAAATGTGTGTAAATAAGTATGGGATTTTAGGCTGCATGTCATGGAGAAGGTCTGTTTCCTGATGGGTAATGTCTGTTTACAAGATGCCTGCTCGGATGTTCCTGCGATGTTTGTGTGAGCTGGCAGCCCAGCCATGAGCCCAGCTGATCTGTTCTCCTCTGCCCTCTCCAGCTGCAGCTCTATGACATTGAAAGCAGCACCAAGACGACCATTCTGAACTATTGCTCCTACGTGCAGTGGGTTCCAGGCAGTGACGTGGTGGTGGCTCAGAACAGAAACAGCCTCTGCATTTGGTACAACATCGATGCTCCAGAGCGAGTCACCATGTTTCCTCTGAAGGTAAAACTCTGGAGCCTTTGATTGCCTCCTGCAGTTTCTGTTTCTTCTTGCTCGCCTGTGTGGGGTTAGTCAGGGTGGTACAGCAGGAGGGAGACAGAAGGGAACAGCTAGTTTCTCCTGGACAGAATATGAGCTCATCCGTCAGCTTTGTGGCAGACATTTCTGGCAGAAGATGGAGGCAGTTAATATAGCAAGGAGCCGCTTCGTGGCTCAGTCTGCTCAGTGTGAGCTCATTCAGCAGAACTGTGACTGGCAGCACTGTCGTGGTGCTGCCCTCCCATCCCTGCTACCCTACGTACTTCAGGAGAACACAGGAATATTGACAGCTGATACTCTTTCCAGGGGGATATCGTAGACTTGGAACGGAATGATGGAAAGACTGAAGTGATAGTATCTGAAGGGGTGAACACTGTGTCCTACACCCTGGATGAAGGCCTCATAGAGTTTGGAACTGCTGTTGATGATGGGGATTATCACAGGTGAGGGCTACGTACACCGATGGGAATGGCAGGTACCTCACATCACATTCCACATTCCACCTGGGAATCAGTGATCCAGAAGTGGCAGCAGCACAGCTTTCCATACAGAGCTGAACTCTAGGCTCTGAGCATGATGTTGGTGCCATGTCTGGCTATAAAGAACATCAGAGTCCTTCAGGAGTACATATTGAGCATTTACCTTCTCACAGCTTTGTGGTTTCAAGCTCAGGGAGAGGCTGGTCCCATAGACACTGACAGGGATTTGCTGAAGGCAGTTGTCAAGTTAATTGCAGTGATTAGGTGTGTCTCCAGAGCAGCCAGATGTGAAGTGGTGCTTGGGTACTTCTGCTGCTGCCCTTCTGGGGATGGTGGCAGTGTCATGGAAACAGCCAGGAGCTGTGCAGAGTAAAAACTGACTGTCTGAAGCAGTGATGGCAGCCACCTGGGCCTTGCTGACACTGTTATAGGGCTTTTAAAAGTGACCAGGGGAGAGAACTTCATGTGTTCCTAGCACTGTTACTGCTTGAGAGACTTCTTCACCAGGGACTTGCATCAGACACATCATTTTGGACTTGTCCCACACTGCTACAGCCTTCTGCTGATATCTGCCTTAAGTACCTTAGCCCAGGTAGGGATCACCTAGGTCTCTAAATTTTCCCCTGCTCTGTCAGGCCCTGTGTTACACTGTCCTCTTCAGAACTGAGCACACCCAACTTGCTTTGTCTTCAGTGCAGCTGTGGTTAGGAGGCTCCTGTCTCAGCCTGGGATTTTCGTCAGAGAGCTCTTCTGTAACTGAAAGTCTGCAACTCTCTGTTTCAAGGGCTACTGCATTTTTGGAGACACTGGAAATGTCCACAGAGACTGAAGCCATGTGGAAGACTCTCAGCAGACTGGCTTTGGAAGCGAGACAGCTGCATATTGCAGAGAGGTACATCACATCTTCCTGGCTTAAACACTCTCTTTGCTGAATCCCTCATAGAAACCAGGGTCCAACTAAAGACATGGCTCTGTGTGTGGCCTGGAAGATGCACTGAGTTGGAGACTTAAGTGTTCTCTATGCCAGGTGATGACTTGCCCTTTCATCCCAACCAGTAATGCCAGAACAGAGAGCAGGAAGAGATCCCTCTGTGTCAGAAATTTTTGTTGATGTATATAAAGCAGTGTATAGCAAGGCCTAAGGGAGCTGACAGAGATGGACAAACTCGAGGCATCTCTGAAGCCTGCGGAGGTGAAACGTGAGCCTTGGTCATGCCCATGGATTCTGCCATGGAGCAGGGCTAGAGGGCACATCTGAACACGAGTCTTGGCAAAATCCTTCTCTTGAAGCAGGGGTACCCCACCTCTCCCTGAGTCTGCTGCCCAAGTTCTGATTTTCTTTTCTTGGACCAAAAGTGGGCAACAAAACTCAGTTACTGACTAACTTCTTTGCCCTTTCCAGGTGCTTTGCAGCTCTGGGAAACATGGCAAAGGCTCGATTTCTGCATGAAACCAATGCCATTGCTGACCAGGCAGCTCAAGAGCATGTAAGTCAAACTTTTCCTGCTCTGTAGGGCCACAGTTTTCCTGAAAACACTCGCATGCACATTATCTTCTGTGTCCATGCTCCCCAGTGTCATGCTACAGACCAGTACCCGGTCATGTAGAAACTGCTGACATCCTTCATCCATGCCTGCCAGGTCCCTCTCAGGGCTGGCCTCAGTGACTGCTCCCGGCTTGTCACTGCTGGGATTCTCAGCTGTCTTTCGTTTCTGTAATGACCCAGCCCCCACCTGCAGTCCCCTCCATGTTCCATTCCAGAGCCTGTTCTTTCCCTCAGCAAACTGAGCTCACTGGCTGTTTGCAGGGTGGGGATGGCACAGACCATTACCTGGTGCGGGCCCGCTTGGCCATGCTGGACAAGAACTACAAGCTGGCCGAGATGATCTTCCTGGAACAAGTGAGTAAAGGAACAAGGAGTAGAAAAGATTTAATTTATTTCTGAGCAGAGGGGTTTGTGTCCTGCTCTGTAAGAGGAACGGAAAACATTGCCTGGTTTTGCAGTTTTTGCCATGAAGCAGAAGGAGGTATTCCTTTTTCTAAGGTGTAGGATTACACTGAGGTGCATGAGGAGGGTGAGGGAGGATGCATATCCATGTAAAGCAGATGGTACAGTTTTTCAAGTGTTTTCTGCACATCTAACCCTTCCCACTTGGAGAGCTCCGAGGCAGTGTGTCTGCTCCTAATCTGGATTCTCTGCTTTCTGACACAGAATGCCACAGAGGAGGCCATGGACATGTACCAGGAGCTGCACATGTGGGATGAATGCATTGTGGTGGCCAAGGCCAAGGTACAGAATGTTTCTGCACTGGGCTGTGGGCTGAGCTTGCTTGGTAAATCTTCTGTTTGAGAGTCCATTCGGGTCTGGGTTCTCTTCACCTGCCCTACCTGGCTTCTGCTTAGAAGGGCTCCAACTAGAAGGAAAGGTTGCACTGGTGTAAGTACAGACCTGGGTGAATAGTGAGGGAGAGATGTCGCTGTTAAAGTCGGGACAGGCAGAGCGACATAGAATCTTCTTTCAAAGCAGGGACGGGATTGCAAGAAGGCTGCAATCACCTTATTGTAACAGGTTGCAAACATTTATACTTTTCACACATCACACATGTTAACTTTCTATTGGTGCCTTCATAGATCAGGCCATACCCATATCGCTCTACTGTTGGTACATGTAGATCAGGCCATCAGGTCATCCACATGTCAACCTGCTATTGGTACTTTCGTGTATACACACACCAGGACTGATTGCAAACTAGTAAACACAGTTTTTGTCAAGTCATCCTGACTTGCAGAAAGTACAGGAAGTCCATTTCTGTCCTCCATCTTCTTCCTTTCTGAAAGTTGCCCACGTTCCTCTGCATGTTGTGTTCTCCTCCTTTCAGGGTTATACTGTAATCTGGTTTATGTCCACTGCTTCGTCGATAAACGCCAGGCTGCTGACAGGCTTGCTGTCAACCCTGACAGAGAGAAGCTACTGAAATTGGTTTAGGAGTATCTGTGGCTTCAAAAAAGAACAGATAGTGCTGTGGTACACAGGCACTATCGCATTGTGGTTTCTGCTAACTGGGCAGCAAGAGGCCAGGTGTGCAGAGCCTGAGGACGAGCTGGACAGCATGTCCCCTTGCCCAGGTCACCCAGTGCTGCATTCCTCCACAGGGACACCCGATGCTGGAGAAGTTGCGTCGGGGTTACTACCAGTGGCTGCTGGATACCCAGCAGGAAGAGAAGGCTGGAGAGGTCCAAGAGGGACAGGGTGACTACCTGGCAGCCATCAGCTTATATCTGCGGGCAGGGCTGCCAGCCAAAGCAGCACGGCTGGCCATGAGTAGGGATGAGCTGCTCACCAATGAGGATGTCATTGACAGGATCTCCACAGCATTGATCAGAGGGGAACTGTATGAACAGGTGAGTGGCCCTTCCCACTGGGCTTCCTTCTTAGGGGCATCAGGGACTGTACCCCATCCTCTGCACCTGTGAGACACAGGGGGACTGGAAGGCAGCAGAGCTAATTCTCTGTTGATAAATTTGCAGTTAACACTTATGAGGAAATCCTCACTGCATCCATTGTACATGGGTGAGGTCTAGAATTACTGTTATTAATCAGGAAAAAGATTGCATCTCACGGGCAACATGTCTCCAGAATATCCTCTGAGCATTAGTAATTGTCAAGGAGGCCCTTGGGAAGTTGGGAACAAACAGGAACAGAGTTGTGAATCAAACAGAAAACTTGATATCACAGTGGAAATGTCAGTGCTTCCTCATAGCAGAATGAAAAATGGTGGTGTAAGGATAATCTAAATGGAAAACCTAAGGCAGGTAAACAAAGGAGGTTGAAGACTATCATAGAGCCATAAATATCATAAAGAAGGGACATGATTATTGTCACTGTCTAATTACACCAAAAATTGGCAACTGTTTATTATTAGGTAACAGTTCTAAAACCAAAAGGTGTTTTTCCCACAGCACATAATCATGTTAATGTAAGAAAACAGTGCTGAGTCTGCCCAGTGTACAGCTCGGTATCCTGGCTGACAGGGGCCTCTGGCAGGTGCTTAAGAAAGGAAAATAAAGAACAGGGCAGACAAAATACAGGGTGGCACTTCCCCTAGTGTGCTTTCATGGGGTCCAGCCGTTTGCAGGCTACAGTGTACCTGAACATTTTTATTTTTATGTTCAAGAACTCCTGATAGATTTTACTTCCATGAACTTGTCAAATTATTGCTTGAACCATCTGTACTTTTGAGTTACAGTTTTGGCTATGAGTTGAGATATATGTGATGTGAAAATAAAACAGTGCTTTTTACTGGCCTGTGTTATGTGTCCTGTGCAAATTACATTTCTCCAGTCTCAATTTACCTCCAGCATTTTCTGACCATTTCATTTGGACCCAAGAGAACTTAGTGCTTTTCCAAACCTGTCACCTTTTCTTAAGCCTTCAGTTGAAAGAATAACTGTGGAGCTTGTGGCTGCTGGATGCCTGGTTACCGAAAGTATAAATGGTCCAAAAGTGATTAGACGAATCATGGAGGTAGAGTCTGTCAAAAGCCATTAAATATGGTGTTGTGAGGGCATCACAACACAAACTCAGGCTTCTACTGTGCAGGCTGTCAGAGATGGACAGATATAACAGAGGAAAGGGTGCTGTATACTCACTGTGTTATTACAGTCTTTCTTTAGAGGTGTGCTCTTGCCACCATTCAAATACTAAAGCCTCTGGACTGCCAGGATGTCTGTGCTGGGGTCGATTGGGAGAGAGGACAATGGTCTCAGCACCCATGCTCTTTTCTAGAAGTTCCTTAGTCCCCATGCTCTTATTTAGTGGGGCAAGGCAGAGCTGGCGGGGGAGTCTGCGTGGCAGGACTGACAAGCTCTTTTTGTGAGACTGGTAGGGTATGAAGGTGTGGGGAAGTGGTGGCTCTGGAAACTGATGGCTTGTATTTGTCATTAGGCTGGAGACCTGTTCGAGAAGGTCAGGAACCCACGGAAGGCTCTGGAATGCTATGGCAAGGGCAGTGCCTTCCTGAAAGGTATTGTGCTCAAAATTCCTCCCCTCCATCTCCAGCAGGAGCCTGGGTACTCTGGCCTGGTGGCAACATGAACAATTGCTCTGGAGCCCAGAGAAGCCTGAATGCTCTGAAGCTTCCACGTATTGTCTCTTCACTGTGTGTATTTTCACGTAGTTGTACTTGCACACGCAGTCCGAGAACAGTGTCCTGTTCCCAAGCCTTTGACCGTGCTGATTGCACCAGCATGGATTTGGTCTGGCTCTCCACAGGGTCCAGGCTGCTGGGTAACCCACTGGAGCTGGAGTGGCTTAGACAGTCACCATTCCCCTCCCTCCGTGCCCCATCCAAGGCCCATGTTTGCCCCACAGTTCTGCTTCCTTGCTGGCCTGAGGGTGACAGATCTCCTGTTCCCTTACAGCCGTGGAGCTGGCTCGCCTGGCATTCCCCGCAGAAGTTGTGAAGCTGGAGGAGGCCTGGGGAGACCATCTGGTGCAGCAGAAACAGCTGGATGCTGCTATTAACCATTACATCGAAGCCAGGTGGGGGCAGGGGAAGGCTGTATAAGCAGCAGGATACTGGCAGGGTGTGAAGTTGATATCATTTGCCTCTATCAGCGGGGGGTTTGCCTGACTGAGCCCCCACCACGCTGCTTTGCAGTGCCCCCCGTGCTTGCGTGCAGTCTCTGCTGGCACCAGCCATGGATACCTTCCCACATCTCTTCCAAGGTCTTTCAGCCTTGATTGCTCATCCCTGCTGTCCTAGTTTGTTCATCCCCTTTAGCACTGCCACTTACTCAGATCCTTTGTGCTGCTCTGACCCGGGAAGCTGAATCAAGCAGCAGAGCATTCTGGTCTCCCTGGCAGAGCACAGCTGGAGGAGGTGGCTGCTGCCTGGCTCTAAAGAGTGATGGGTTTGATACTAGGTGCTCAGTTAAGGCCATCGAGGCAGCCTTGGGAGCCCGGCAGTGGAAGAAGGCCATCTACATTTTGGACTTGCAGGACAAACAGACAGCAGCCAAATATTACCTCAAGATTGCCCAGCACTATGCAGCTTTACAGGAGTATCAGGTGAGGCCGCAGAACACAGTCACCAGTGCTCTCTGTATCCCTTGGGAATGCTGAGTGTGGTCTTTTCCTGGCAGGTTGCAGAGGAGCTGTACATCAAAGGAGGCCAGACCAAGGATGCCATTGACATGTACACACAGGCTGGGCTCTGGGAACAGGCTCACAAGGTAGAGTCAGAAGCCAAAGCTTCTGGGGACCCCACCCCACTCAGTAAAGTGTGTCTTCCATCAGGTGCTGGTGCACAAGGCACCACCACCTGATCAACCAGCACTCTTCCCAAAGGATGCATGCAGGGCCATCCAGTAGCCAGCAAGAAATCTGTTCCTAGTATTCACATCCTGACCTTCTCTGTCTCACAGCCCCATGTGGGTGCACCTGTGACACAAATGACCCTCTCCAAAAGCTGGTCCTATGTGCTTTGATCACAGTGACAAGCGACTGCCCATTCTCTGCAGAGCATATAGCATGGATACCTGTTTGTTAGATGGGAAGGAAATTGGTTTTCCCCTTCTCCTTCACTGCCATACGTCAGGAAATTGCTGTGCAGCATATTCCCTGTGTGTTCCTTTTGGCAGCTGGCAATCAAGTGTATGAGCCAGGAGGATGTGACTGTGCTGTACATAACTCAGGCCCAGGAGATGGAGAAGCAGGGCAAGTACAAAGAAGCAGAGAGGTGAGTGTCTTCCTTGGTACCCATCTAAGACAGCCCTGAAAAAAATAGCTGTAGTGAGGAGGATCCCTTTCCTGGGGTAGGAGTAGAATTTGGGACTGGGGTTTGGAAAGACCGGAGGAACCCTCGCCACACACAGAGACCTCAAGCTGATATTTCAGGATGCAGAGAGATTTCAGGGAGTGGTCATGTCCTTGACTGAGCCATTTGGATGTGCTTGTGTTCCCAGGCTGTACATCACTGTGAATGAACCTGATTTGGCCATCACCATGTACAAGAAGTGTAAGATGTATGATGAGATGGTTTGCCTAGTAGCCAAGTACCACAAGGACTTACTTGGAGATACTCACCTGCACCTGGGCAAGGTGAGTGCGTCTCATGGCAGGTGATCAGCTAGGCCAAGCCTGGGCAAGACTATCACGATCTCATTGCCTCTGACTGCAGGAGCTGGAAGCAGAGGGGCGCTTGCAGGAGGCTGAGTACCACTACCTGGAAGCCAAGGACTGGAAGGCCACAGTGAACATGTACAGAGTGAATGACATGTGGGAAGAGGCATACAGGGTAATGATCATTCAGAGCTCCCCACCTGTGCGCAGGTCAGACTCTGGCTGCAGGATTCTGGTGGGAACTGCTTTGTGTCTCTTCACTGCAAGATCAGAGCACTACCCAGCCTCAGCACTGCCCCAGCCCTGGAGGCCTGTGGGCCTCCTGCTCTGCAGCATTGAAGCCCAAAAGTAGGGCTTGACCCCTGGGCTCTCTGCAGCAGTGCCTTCCTCCAGGCATTGCTCTGCCCCTGACCACTGCATCCCCTTGTACCTCAGAGGTGTTGTTCTGGCTGCAGCTGCCCCCAACACTGCTCCCCTCGGTGTGGACATGGAGTGCCAGGGTCACTTCTGCTGCCCAAACAGTGGTGTGGGCTGTGCTGAGAAGGCAGCAGCTGTTCTGCTCTGCCCTATATGCCTTTGTCTCACTCTCCCACTCACCAATCCAGTGATGGCCACAGAAGGGTTCCTCAGGAGGGAACAGATGGTTTTGGTGCTCTCTCATGCCAACAGGCATCACATGAGAGAGGCTCAGTCTGCTGAAGGTGAGATCGATGCACTGGGCTCTTCAACTTCCTCTTTTTGGACAGGTGGCCAAGGCACATGGGGGGGCAAACTCCCATAAGCACGTGGCCTATTTGTGGGCGAAGAGCCTGGGTGGAGAGGCAGCTGTGAAACTCCTCAGCAAATTCGGGCTTCTGGAAATGGCCATTGACCATGCAACGGACAGTGGGTATGCAGCTGCCTCCGCCAGCACTTCCCTGCCCTCTGCCTGACCTGAGGAAAAATGGGTGGCCCAAGATAACTCTGTTCACATGGTAGCAGCAGGGCCAGGGTATGGCATGTCTTCCCACCCCACCATACTTCCCACAGGCATTCCACTCCCTTGACACATCGCACTTTCCATCCCCATGTCAGTCTCTCAAATGCCAAGTCTGAGCTGTGCAGGCAAAAGCAGTTTGTTCCTTAACCTCAGCAGGAAGGGCCTTGTGAGAGCCTCTGAGCATGAGAGGAGGTATTCCTCATGTCACCATAAGTAACTGCCTGCCACAAGAATTTTGGCCCTGCTCTGCACTGGGCCAGGTGTCTGCCTGCATGGCCATTCTCTGCTTCTCTCCCCCAAGCCCATACATCTCTCAGCTCCTGCAAGTCTTGTCACCTCCCTTTGGGATGGAACCAAGGGCCTCGGGTGCTAAGAGCAGGTGTGAAGGAGTTGAATTTCCTCAGTGGGGACTCTAAAAGTTCCTGTTCTCTGGGCAGGAGCAGGTGAAACCCGCAGTGCCCATTCACTTTGGACCCTCTCTCCTCTCCCAGTGTCTTGTGCTCTCCTTGATGTCTTGCTCTTGATGAAGGCATGCCCTCAGAGCACAGAGTCCTGCCCTCACCCCATTTTCGCTTTCATTGCAGGGTCTTTGAATTTGCTTTTGAACTGGCCCGCCTCTCCATGAAGCAGAAGATGCCAGACATCCACTTAAAGTATGCCATGTTCCTAGAAGATGAGGTAATTTCTCCCCTGGAATAGGTGGGAGTTCTCTGGTTGCTCAGATAGCTGAGCAGTTGTGCCGGGACTGCTGCAGCTGGCACAGTTCTGGCTGGAGTCACTGCACATCCAAAGGGCTCCACAACCCCAGGCTCCACACACATCTTTGCTTCATAAACCCTCCCTGCCTCATGGTAAGTAGAGGAGGTCATGTAATTTATCGGGACAGGAAGGGCATGCAAGCAAATTCCTTCCTTTCTCCTAGGGCAAATTTGAGGAGGCTGAAGGAGAATTTATTAAAGCTGGGAAGCCCAAGGAGGCGGTGCTGATGTATGTGTCCTTCCACATCCTGGCCTGCTGCATCTGCTCTCCCCACATGATGCCAGCCTGGATGCCTCTCCAGCATCAGGCTGCTCCGTGTCATCCCCCTTGTTCCATCCCGTGTCGGTTCCCCCAGGTTTGTGCACAACCAGGACTGGGACGCGGCGCAGCGAGTGGCTGAGGCCCATGACCCTGACAGCGTGGCTGATGTGCTTGTTGGACAGGCACAGTTTGCCTTTGAACAGAGGGAGTTCCAGAAGGCAGAGGCCTTCCTCCTGCGAGCACAGAGACCTGAGCTGGCCGTAAAGTACTACAAGGTGAGCGTAGTCTGTAGCAACATCATATTGCCTTCCTCGCTGGACAAGAACGTAGTTTGGATGGAGGAGTGAAATCCACCTCCCAGCTCTCCCTGTCAGCTTAATAGCCAAAGAAAAACCATTTACTCAGGGGGTTCCTAGAGGAACTTAATTCTGGCCTGAAGACTGAACCAGTGGATATCACAGCATAGCTTTGCTCTCTCACAGTTCCTAGAAGAGGTGTCCTGCCAGAATATAGGTGGTCCTCAGGGGTAGCACAAGTGGGTGCATTTGGTGTCTAAGTGCCCATTCCACGGAGATAGCTGGAATGGATGAACACGTTCCCCTGAGGTACTTTGGGTGAGTGGATAGACATAGGTGCCATTTGGGGGGAAGAAAGAATTGGATGGTGCTGCTGTGGTTGTTTCTTCCATAGGTTCTCTGGTGAGATGACATGAGGGGCTAGATATGTTATGTAATGCGGGAGTGTGAGGGATCCTGGTGAACTGGTGAAAACTTCTCCCCATTGTGCTTGTGCAGGAGGCCGGCATGTGGAGCGAGGCCCTGCGGATCTGCAAGGAATACATGCCTAGTCGGCTGGGAGAGCTACAGGAGGAGTGTGGCAGGGAAGCTGGCAAGAAGGGCTCTGGGTAGGGAATGCTGTGGTCAGGCTGCAGGAAACAGCCAGGTAGCTCTTCCTTGTGGCCATAGTGCTGATGCCTTACAGGCTGATGGGATCCCTGGTGGGAACCCTGATCCGGTTGTTTCCCTCTTGAGGGCTCTAGACTTCTTACTGCAGAGGTTTCCTCTCATCCTTCCTCCCTGCTCTGGAGGCTTATTGCTGCCATTTAAGGTCTCCCAGATGGCCTCTTGCCACATACATATCTCCACGGTGTCCTTTCCTGCCAGTGCGTCTCCCAGGGGTCCTCAGTCAGTTCTCTCCTCAGCACTGTGTGCGCTCTGCCACGTGCTCCAGTCTCGTCTGAGGTCCCTGGCTTACCTGTGCTGTGCACCTCCCTGCCCACACCCTACACACTGTCTAGAGGATCTCTGGCAGCATCCCAGCCCTGCTCACAGCCTGCATTCCTCCCTGCAGCGGAACCGAAGGGCTGCTGGAGCAGGCCCGGGAGTGGGAGCAGGCTGGGGAATACGCCAGGGCAGTGGACTGCTACCTGAAGGTGCGGGATCCCAGCAACAGCGTCCTGGTGGAGAAGTGCTTGCTGAAGGTACCGTCAGGGGCTGTGATTCCCCTCACTTGCTCTGCTGCCTGGGAACTCTCCCACAACCTGAGAGCACCTTAGAGATCCCAGTCACTGCAGGGCACAGGAGAACCTGCAGGCTGCAGTGGCTGCAGAGCTGAAAGCCTTCCTAGCTGTTTTCTTGAGCCATGATGGGCTGTGCTTACCCTGCATGGCGCTGACCCCCTTGCTCTGGCACCACTGCCTGTGGCAGGCCAGTGCCTGTCTGTGTGCCCACAGCTCCCTGCACTGAAGAGCTGCACTTTATGCCTCAGCCCTTGCTAGAGGAGCACCTTCTTGTTCTGTCCCACCACTCTTTGTTTTGTTCTTGTTCATACTTCTCACTCACATCCATGTCCTTGTACCAACTTCAACAGTTATGTCCTTGTTTGATCTTCTGTGTGTGAAAGTAGCTGGGCTTTGCTTCTCTGTCTTGCTGAAGTGAGCTGCCATTTCTTCCCCCCTTCTCCATAGTTCAAGTGCTTCCAACTCTCAGTCTTTTAGCTGGGACTGAGAACTTCCCAGCTTTATCCTACTCTCCCACAGCTTTTATCGTTTGTGCTGCTGACAATTTCTCTTCACAGGCTGCTGAGTTGGCTGTGAAATTCTTGGGTCAGTCACAGAGCGTGGAGGTGACACGGACTGTGGCTCCTCAGCTGGTGGCCATGAAGAAATACAGCGTGGTGAGGGTTGGCTCCTGCCCCCAAACTGCTGGAGAAGTACTGACTGACATAGGAAGGGAGAGCTCTATCCAGGGGAAGGAGGCCAAGTCACATCCTGGGGTGATGGGTGGATGGCTCTATCCAGAGTTAGGCAGTACAGAGTCTTGAAGGAGGATGAAGGAGGGGAAGGAATCAAGTCCTGGAGTAGTGTGAGAGAGGCAGGCCTTGGGAGGAGGCAGGAAGGAGAGGAGCAGGTTATCTTTTGGGAGGAGACTTTCTGTTGTGGCTGTGTGCTGGTCTGCACCAGCTTCAGCCTGGAATGCATGGACTGTCTCCCATGGGACCGTCTCTCGCCCTCCAGGCAGCTGAACTCTACCTAAACTTGGACCTCATCCGAGAAGCTATTGATGCCTTCATTGAAGGGGAGGAATGGAGCAAAGCCAAGCATGTGGCCAAGGAGTTGGACCCTAGGTATGTCCTGAGCTTTGCAAATTATGCTCTTCCTGCTCCTTCTCCCACTCCCAGATGATCCCTTGTCCTGTCTTTTCCTGTCCTGCAGTCCCCAGATTTCCTGGATTCTTTCCACAGTGGTCTTCCCAGGCTCAACAGGGCACATTTTCCACAGCTACCCTTCTCAAGCCATTTACCATTCTGACACTTTTCTGTTGTCAGACATCCCGTGAAGATTGTTATTCCCTTTTGTTCCATCCCTATCCGTATCTCCCTTTCCCTTGTCATAGTCCTGTGCATGCAATTTGTTCTGAAAGCCCTGTGATCCCTTGTTTTCCTCACACGTTATGCTGTGAAGAGCTGCCTCGGCCCTTTCCTCCCCCTTCTACCTGTGTGCCAGCAGCCCACCAGCAAGACACAGCACAGCTGGAAGTCCTCTGGTTCCAAGGCTGAATCCAGCCTCTGCACTGATGCAAGGCACAAGGATTCTTTCTACCCACAGGTCAGAGGAGTATGTGGACCAGCGTTATAAAGAGTATTTAAAGAACCAAGGAAAGGTGGATTCGGTACGTATTTGGGATGTCTTGCAGGCAAGGGAGTGATGTCAGGACCTGTGCAGATCCTTGGGGCCTTTCTCATGGGGCTTTTGCCTGACTATGCCCACGGGTGAGAAATCTGTATGTGCCTGTGAGCCGTGGCTATTCCATACCAGAGCACGGAATCACAGAACAGTTTGGCTGGGAAGGGACCTTAAAGCTCATCTCATTCCACCTCTCTGCCATGGGCAGGGACACTTTCCACTAGACCATGTTGCTCCAGGCACACATTGCTGGGTCATGTCCAGTCTTTCGCCCAGCAATACCCCCAAGTCCTTCTCCCCTGGGCTGCTCTCAGCCATTCTCCACCCAGGCTGTATCTGTGTGTGGGGTTGCTCTGACCCAGGTGCAACACCTTCACTTGGCCTTGTTGACCTTCATGAGGTTTGCACAGGCCCACCTCTGCAGCCTGTCCAGGTCTCTCTGGATGGCAGATGGGTCACACTGGCTCTGTAAGTTCATGCCACGGAGAGGGAGGGACTGTGTGTCTGGGAGAAAAAGACACAGGTGAGCTGATGCCTGCCTGGATGTGAGTAGGAAGCCTGGCCTGCACAGTGAATTTACGGTTGCTTCCATCCCCAGCTGGTGGGAATCGATGTCATGGCTGCTCTGGATATATATGCAAAGCAGGAGCAGTGGGAGAAGTGCCTGGAAGTCGCAGCTAAGCAGGTGAGTGCCTGTGTGAGCCCTCGGGGACAGGCCCAGGGCCCTGGCACCTTGGAGCAGGGACAGCCGGAGCGGGTGGGCAGCATGGGGAGCTCAGGAAACACCACACCACTGTGCCCATCATGGCCAGCCAGGCTGAGTGGGGAAGCATATTGTGTTTAAATTTTGTGGTTAATGGAGCATTGGAAGAAGCTAAATGAGTTGTTTGGACTGAAAGTAATTGGTACCATGGAAACAGAGGGGTCTGTAGAAGAAAGCCTTCTTTCTCCATGTTCTGGAGAGCCCTGGTGTTAGTTGGAATGAGACATCTTTGTCAGGAAAGCAAATTCGACATTTTTTCGGTTTTTCTGACCTAAAAGTAACAAAATTACCTGAGCAGGGTAATAAAAATGAAGAAAAGCAAAATTAAACTGTTTTACAGTACTCTTCCATGTCAGTAACAGAAGGAGAAAGCTCTCAATTACCAGGATCTCCTTCGAGGGATGGTTTGTATTCAGTGGTTATTGATTGGTGATTGATTGGTTAATGATTCAGTGGTTGTTGATAATGAAGATAACCAAAGGAAGGTGTTGATTTTTTGGAATGAGGTATTGGTTCAGATTGAATAACAGGGCAGCCCTGGCAGTGGCATCTGCCATTAGTGGAGACACCGCAGTTTATCACTTGGGCCAGCACTGATGCCTTGGAAAAGCACTGGGAATGTCTGCGAGTGTGGTTTTATAACTTTGGTTCCAGCAACCTGAGTTTGGATTCTACTAGAACAAACTTGATTTTGCTTAGACTTGGGCTTCTCTGTGGTGCAGATGGTCCCTATTGTAATCGTTGTTCTCTTGGAGGCTCCTGTACTGATATTCTGTTTATCAGGAGCCGCAGGTGTTGATCTTCATCCACAAAAAATAACTGCACACTCCATTCCCTGGGAAAGGCTCTGTCCGTTTATTGTTGGCCAGTCACCCCACGGTCACGCTGAGCCCAAGGAGATGTTGGTCTGCTCGTGCCTCTTAAGAGCATTAGCACCACCCTGCTCTGTAACCAGTTCAGAATATCATCACTTTGACTCAGCTGATATACAGTGATTATACAGCAATAATGTTACATTTATCAGAACAGCTCACATACCAGACTGAATCTTTATCCCAAGCTGTGCTGAGCCTGGGTGTTCAACTTCTAGACGTCTGCTGGGGCACTGGTCTCTCTTCTGCACAATAAACTTGCTTCCATTGCTCAGTTTTTAACAGGCACATTTTGTGCCATTTTCTTCCTTATTACTATATTTAAGCGTGTGTGAAGGAGGTCTTTCCTCGCTTGAATTTCTGTGAGGCCAAGAGCAGTCCTCAGAAGTGTCTGTGGGGTCAGCACAAGTATGAGCAGTGTTCCAAGGAGGTCTGGAGTCCTGGAGCTGTGACATCCTGTGGAAAATGGACTAGAGCAGCCTTGTAAATTACAAACATCTTCACCAAGGGTTTTAGCTAATTCTTCGCTAGACTAAGGGCTGGCTTACAGTCAGTACCCATGGTGCCACACAGTAGAGTGCTGCATCCTTCAGGTGTTTGACAGTATTTCTTTGGCAAGTGCTGAACAGCTGGAAAACAGCTGTATCTGCATGTGTGGAGGATCAGCACAGTATCAGCTAGCCAGGATTAAGGTGTCAGTAGGGTCCAAATCAAAACCCAGGTGTGCTGTGAACAGTCTGGTTCTGATTACCTGTCTTGCCCTTTGGGACTCAGGTGCGTGAGTGGGTGCACACATGGCTGAATCTGTCTCCACGGAGGAACAAGTCTTCAGTTCACGAGTCTCATGCTGCTGCTTTCTGTGTGTCTTCTCCAGAACTATAAAGTCCTGCACAAGTACGTCGCTCTGTACGCAACACACCTGATCCGGGAGGGCAGCTGGGACAAGGCCCTGCGCCTGTACGTCCACCATGGAGCCCCTGCCAACCCGCAGGTAATGAGGGCAGCACCACATCCCAGTGTGCTGGGATCTGCCACCTGAGTCAGGCTCCCAGTCAGAACTGGGACTGCCAACTGTTCAGCACGTCCAAGCCACTCCAGCCCTGCGGTGGATTCTTCCAGAGGGCTAAAGGCAATCTTCTGGCACATTCTCTACTTGAAGCAGCAGGGGGAGTTGAGTGTTTGTGTTTGTTTTGAACACCTTGAGCACCAAGTTCAGAACAAAAGGAACCATTTGCCTCTCAGAGAGCACTGGCTGCAGGAAGCATCCTTCCATCCTTCCCATTCCCTGCATTGTCCCCAGCACTCCCTGCAGCCAGCAACCTGCAGCACTGCCACACCAGGAGCCATTCCCTCAGTCTGTGCCTGGCAGCAGGAGAGCTCCAGAGACACTGAGTCCTGGTCTGGCTCCTTCCACACTTCTCTCCTTTTTGTTGCAGAATTTCAACATTTACAAGCGTCTCTTTGTGGAGATGGTGAATGCCTCTGGCATGAACTGTGCCGAGGCGTACTCCAGCTGGGCGGACCTGCGGGATGTGCTCCTCAGTCTGGTGAGTGTGGCCATGGCCACCGCTGCCCTTTCAGCTCCAGCCCCTGGGGACTCCTGACGGGACAGGAAGAAGAATCGTACCGGGTGGCATGGGTAGTGTTTTTAGAACACAAGCTCAGGGGAAAGAGATGGCAGTGTGGACAGCAGGACAACAGGATCATGTGAAATGAATGTGGCTGAGCAAGAGAAGGCAGAGAAGAAGGTGACTCTGCACTCGAGGCCAAATCCTAGAAGTGGGTCTGGACATTGGCCCTTGCAGAGCTCTCTGTGTCACTGCAACATGAGAGGCTATCATGACACGTCCACTTCTCATCCTACACCCATATTCACCAGGCTGCATGGGGAAAGCACAGAGCTACTGAGCCTGGAAAATACAAGTCTTCCCCATCTTCCCAGGGATGCTTAGAGCCTTCTGCTCCTCATTCCTGTCCCAGAACACCTCAGAGCTCATGATTGCCTCATCACTGTTTCTGTCCCACAAATAGCACAGACAAAATAGCTCTAGCACAGATGAAATGAGCAAATCCCCCTTTGTCCATCCAGACTCACTCCTGCCTCCAGTGCTGGCTGTTGTTGCAGTACTGTTGACTATTCCTGGCTCCCACAGCCTCCTTCCTTCAGCATGCTGTGGGAGGCCGAGCACCCAAGGCCCGGCCCCTTTCCAGTTCTAGAGGTGCCTGGATATTTCAGTTCCCTCTCTCCCTGGGCTTTCCTGGCCTCAAGTGGATAAAGAGTGCCCTTGTGCTCTCATGCCCTCAGTTACTCTCATTTTCTCTTCTCAGTGTGAAAACCTAGTGAAGTCCAGCGAGGCAAACACTCCGGCACACGAGGAGTTCGAGAGGATGCTGCTGATCTCCCACTACTGCGCCACCCGCTCCGCTGCGCAGGGCCTGAAGCAGCTGGTGAGGCTTTGCAGTTCCTCTGCCAGGTCACCACCCTGAGTGGGGAACCCTGAGGGGATGTGCAGGTTCAGGGATATCCACAGGTTACTATTCCACTTCATGGAGCACTTAGATGTATCACGGATGCATGGGAATAGGACTGCAGTGATCTGGGAGCCCTTCACCAGCAGGTGAAACTGGAGATGGTCTTCCCTGCTTATAGTGGCAACTGCCCCAGCCATTGAGGCTGAGCTGTAAACCAGGGGAAAGCTGATCCATGTGTTTGGCATGACTTGTGAGAGCAAAGGCACCACAGAAAGTTAGGGATTCACAAAAAATCTGGTCTTCCCAGGAGAGGGATTGCTTCCTCTCTGCTGTCCTGGGCTGCGAGAGCTGCTGGGCTTCACACAATCTTGAGAGCAGCTCATCTGCCCAGGGCTTTGGCAGGTGCTGGCCCTGTGTGCTGAGCCTCTCAGGGGGCTTTGGGAGCTCACGGGCCTGGGAGGGGGGCACAAAAGGCACTGTAAGTATTTTGGAGTCTTTTGTGGACTGGGAATTGTTGTGGACCACAATATGTAGCAGCCTCCCTGCTGAAGTCTTGATCCATGTGGGATTGTGGAATTGTGCTAGAGGTCTGTATTAGTGTGGGACTGGAGCTGTGATGGAGAAGGCTGCAAAAAGGAAAGGTTGCCACAGCTAGGACCCCAGTGAAAGTCACAGGGGAGACTGGGACTTCCCCAGGGCTGTATGTGTGGATGTTGGGAGTCCAGAACCATGTCAGACAGCAAGTCTGTACAGACCCTCACAGCTGTGGAATGTTGAGATGCTGCCCAGTCTATTTGGGATCATGGAGCAGGGGTGGCCTTGACAGTTCTGGTGTGATGATGTATATCTGGTAAGCAGAAAAGTGAAATCCCCCTTTAATTCCTCATCTCATCTCCACTCCATAATTCTTACATAACTGAATACAAGAAAAAGCTTACTGAGACTGTGGCTGGAGTAGGTTTCCTGGAGAGGCTGGAGAGTCTCCATCCCTTGAGATAGTCAAAACCTGACAGGCATGTTCCTGCCTCTGCTTTGACCAGGGCTCGGGCAGGACTTGGCAGTCACCAGCAATCCCTTCCAACCTCACCTGTTCTGTGACTCAAATGGGGGGAATTTGGGGTTGGCTTCTACTGAAAAATAGCAATGTTCATAAACAGAAGAACTTCACCCTCAGGTGACAGTCCCATGTGTTCAGTAGTGAGGGAAGTCAGGGTCAGAACTGAAGCTTTTGACCTTTGTTTGTTACCTGTAGGGCACATGTGGGTGCAGAGTCCCTGCCGTGAGTCTGGGGTGGTGTGATCTCATGAGATCCCTTACAAGCTGTTTTTTCTGTGCTGAATTGTTGTGTCTTTCCTGTCCTCCATGTTCACAGGACACCATGGCTGCCCAGCTGTCCATTTCCCTGCTGCGCCACACGGATCTGCTCCCTGCAGACAAGGCTTTCTATGAGGCTGGGGTAGCTGCCAAGGTAAGAGCTACCTGCCAGCAGAGCAGAGGAGGAGGTGGGGCACCCTGGGTTCAGAGATTCTCAGCTTTATCTTCCCAAATTCCCCCCTGATTGCACTTGCAGCCCAATAGCCAAACTCCAGCAGCTGTCCAGCCTCAGGCAGGGAGGACAGACCTCAGCCAACCGACAGGACCTGCAGAGCCAGGGGTGGACAGAGGCCACATTATGGCTTTGTTAGTGTGGCTGTGAGACTGCTCTGGGTCACTCAAGTGTCTGACAGTCTGCCCAGGTGACACATGGCGAGGACAGCAGCATGCCCTCACAGCCTGGACCTGGCTGTGCAATAATGGAATCATGGAATAGTTTGGGTGGGAAGGGACCTTAAAGCTCATCTCATTCCACCCTCTGCCGTGGGCAGGGACACCTTTCACTAGACTAGGTTGCTCCAAGCCTCATCCAGCCTGTCCATAATGCCTGGCTGCATTGTGCGGGACAGCCTGTGGCCACGGGGCTGGTTGTCCCAGGGACTCATTCCTCGGGGGTGGCAAACTGGGATGTGCAGTCTCTTTGTCCATTTCCTGTGCTGCAAGTGGGATGCTGTCACACAAAGAGAGCCATGTCCTCCCCAGACGTGGCTCTGGGAGGAGAGCTGTGGCTGTGAGGATGAGCTGCCCGGTCTCACTCGGGGTTCCTCTCTGTACCAGGCAGTCAGCTGGGAGAACATGGCATTCATCTTCCTGAACCGCTTCCTGGACCTCTCAGACGTGCGTATGGTCTGCGGGGGGGGGCTGTCCCACTAAAATGACACCGAGCAGTGGGGCCACCGCAGACCCCCAGCCTGGGCAGGGCACATCTGAGGCTCTTATGGCAGCACATTGGAGTTCATGCTGATGGAGAGCCCCAAACCCCACTCAGTGTGTGTGTGCACAGCACTGGGTACCCTCACACCACCTGTGGGAGGACCTGTCATGGAGGGCACCTGTACAGCCCTGGGCGTGCCAATGCCACAGTGCACGTGGCAGCAAAGAGCACGTTGGCCTGACAGTTTAGGCCTGAAGTCCTTATGGCTATAGGTGCTGTTACAGCTTTTGGGATGAGCTCACTTGAGTTGTTCCAAGGGAAAGAAAACTACCTGGGGGGTGGAGGCCACCACCCAGTGCCTTGGCCACTGAGATACAAGACTCGAGAGTCCCCTCAGCCCCTTCTTTGACCAGCAGGTTGGTCATCAGAAACACCAAACCCAAGGGAGCTGACAGACCTCACTGTGCCACACTCCCAAGAGCTGTTGGCAGCTGCTGGGGGAAAATAAAAGCCCTGGATTACATCTTTCCCTTCTTTGAGGCCACCTGACAAGTTTGAGTAGGAGAGTGTCTGAGGGGCACTGCAGAGGGTGGCCGTGGATGCCAGGAGGGCCTGGTCACCAAAGCACGAACAGACAGGGGCATCCTCACCATGAATTGTGCTGTGAGCTCCACAACTGGCATTGCCCAGTGCTCCACCACTTCTCCTTTCCCAGGCCATTGAAGAAGGGAACCTGGATTCCCTGGACCACTCTGATTTCCAGGGAACAGACATTCCTTTTGAAGTGCCACTTCCAGCCCAACAGCATGTGCCTGTGAGTGTCACCTGCATTCTCCAGCTCCTGTGAGCAGTGATGGTACTTCAGGGCCCTCTGAACAGGGACTGGGATGAAGCTGGGATGGTAGGGACTACTGGGGATGGAAACAGAGCCAGCCCTGGCCCTGCTCTGTGCCCCCCACCCCACTGCAAGCGCACACACACACACATTCTTTCCCATGCTCTCCAACACACACACACACACGCACTCACCCTCTCCTGTGCACCACCCGTGTGTGTGCTCACCTGTGCACGTCCTGCATGCCTGTGTCCTGCTCTCCCCTGTGCTCCCTGGGGCTGCGGGGCTGCAGCCAGGCAGCGGCACAGCAATTCCAGGCCATGCACTGGCCTGTGCCTGCAGGAGGAGCAGCGGGAGGAGGTCAAGGACTGGGTGCTCACCATGTCCATGGACCAGCGGCTGGAGCAGGTGCTGCCACAGGACGAGCGCAACACCTACGAAGCCTCACTGGTGGCAGCAGGGACCGGGGTGCGCTCCCTGCCCTGCCTGCTCACAGGTAAGCTCCAGGCCAGCTCACTCAGATAGGGGATGATGGTGCCATGCAGGGAGTGGGAACATGCTGCCGGGCAGGTCTGGGAGAGGAGTGGGGAGACTGTGGCTGCTGGAGGAGATAGAAGGACCCTTTTGTTACTGGGAGGGTGACTGAGCGCTGGAACAGGTTGCACAGAAGTTGTGGCATCTCCATCCTTCCAGACAGTCAAAAGCCATCTGGACATGGTCCTGGGCTGGGGTGGCCCTGTCTGAGCAGGGGGTTGGACCATACAGACTCCAGAGCCCTTCCGACCTCAGCCACTCTGTGTGATTCTGTGATGGCTCAGGCTGGCACAGCTCTGTCTGGGGACTCCAGGCTGGCCAGCACAGATGCTTGTCCCCGGGCAGCACCTGGCCCTGCTCTGCCCTGCTCTACAAAAGCTGTCACTTCTGGCAAGGTCTGTTCCCCATGTGCACACTTCAGACAGTACTGGACTGCAGTGCAGGACTTAAAGAGGATCAGGGAAGGGAGAGCAGAGGTGAGCCACCAGAACAGGCTTTAAAATCAGGAGCTGGGTGCCATTGTTTGACCTACTCACTTGGGTGTCCTTGGCCAAGGGCAGTTCAGCCTTCATCTTCATTTGATCCTGCCACTTTGAGCACCCCCTTCTTCATTCTGGTCTCTGAAAGCCTGAGGCAGTATCGCTCTCTCCACACTGTGCCATGGGGCAGCCCCAACCACGGCAGAGGGAATGGATGCACCAGGTTTGGGGGTCTGCTGTGGGGCTCAGCTTGTTCTGAATGTGTCACTTTGTGCCCAGGATACCCTGTACTAAGAAACAAGATCGAGTTGAAGCCAGGCCGAGAAGTCAACAAGGACGCGTGGTACAAGTTCATGATGGCTGTCAAGGTGAGCCAGGACCCTGTGGGGCAGGCAGGCAGGCTGTGGGTTCAGCCCCTCATGCTGACAATAGTCATGCTGGGTGAGTCACTCTCCCAGGAAGGTTTATTTCACTCTCCCAATGTGCTGTTGGGTGGGAATTAACAGCCCCCCAGCCCTGTCAGCCCCCGGGGTACTCTCGGGGAGCCCCCTGGGAGAGGGCCCTCTTTCCAGTGCCAAGACCTCTCTCATTCTGCAGACATCCCACAGCCCTGCAGGCCAGGATGTGATCGAGTTTCTTCGACGGTGGTGTGGGGCACTCCCGAGCACCAGCTTCTCGTTCCAGTGAGCAGGACTACGGAAGCTTTCAGGGCAGTTCTTCAGCACCCTCCCCTTCCACCCCCAATAAATGTGTATCTCAACCCTGCTGTGCTCCTGTGTGCCAGGGGATGCTGAGCCCACAACACAGGCAGCTGCTGGGGCACAGGGCCATAAACCCTGTACACGAGTCTCAACCTCCACCCTGATGGACGACTGTCACACTGAGACCATGGCTCTGTCAACATCCCTGTGCCTAGGGAGTGGTGAGCATGGACATGGACTCTCCCAGCAGCTGCACGGTCCTTCCCTCAGCAGGCCAAGCTCCCAGCCAGCACTTGCCCAGCAGAGCCACTCACAGAAGCCAGTGTGGAAAAGTTTATTTACTCAAGAAAGCCAGAGGCTCACACCAAAAGGATTCTTCACCTTCTGTTCCCTGCCCTGCCTGAGCACGGCACAGCCAGCTGACCTGCTCGCAGTGCCACCAGGACTTGGGCCCCGGCACCTCTGCTCACCCCAGTCACTGCTGACAGACATGACTGCTGACAGAGCCTTCAGCATGCCAGGAAGGGCCTGGCAGCTTGGGGAGAGAAGGGGGAGAGTGTCTGGGGCCCAAAGCACCTTCTGACCTGCAGGATCTGTGCCAGGTAGGGTGGTGGGGCGGGGGGAGAAGGAAGGCACACCCCTCACCCCTGCAGCCCACCTTACCCACAGCAGGGCATGGTGCAGGTGTGATGTCACCTTGCTCTGGATCACAGCACTCCTGCAGCACCACCTGGGAGTGAAGGAGCACGTGTAAGTGCAAGGCTGTGCTGCAGGTCCCAGCATCGCACTGATACCACTGGCCATGTGCTTGGGAAGAGGTGTTTTGGGGGGCTGGTGTGGGCAGGGGCCCTTTTGATGGCAGAGCCCGCACCCTGCTGTCCTCAAGCATGGCCCATGTGCTGCGCTCACCTCTCCAGCTAGGCACGAGACTCAGCCAGCCCTGCCAGGAGCTGCTGCCTCTCTCGGGGTGGCCTCTCCGTCACTGCACTTGGCCTGGTCAGCTACAGAGAAAAAAAAAAAGGGGAAAAAAAAAAAAGAAGGGGAGGGTGGCAACAGTGTGTGATGGGCAGTTTACACAAGGAAAGAACAAGGCTTGAAGAACAAGAGCCCCTGACTCTCAGGGGCATGAAGAAGAGGGTCTGTCCACAACTCTCAAGATGAAGGGGTGCCAGTCTGGCACCCAGGCTGGCCAGAAAAGGTTCCAACTCGGCATCCCCCCCTCCCACTGCTGCACAGTCTGCTTGTTTCCAGCAGAACCCAGCACCTTCAAAATGCAGCACAAAGGGAGCAACTGTGGGGCAGATACAGGGAGACCCATCTGGCTGGACAGGGCATACCTGCTCTTTGTCCCAGCTGTGTGCACAGGGCCCGATGCCCCGGAAGACCAGAGCAACCAAACAGCACCTGCCCGAGAGCACGGCTTCTGCAGCTGCCAGCAGCAGGGAGGGGAACCAGAGGGCCAGGGCCGTGTCCTGTGGAGCAGGGGGTCAGCAGAGTGTGGGCACTGCACCAGGCTGCCTGCACACCAGGCAGCAGGGGAGAGAAGAGGGAGACAGAAGAAGAAAAACGAGAGGAAGCAGGGAGAGAAAGAGGCTGATGGGAGGAGCACGGGTGTGTGGCGGCCCCGCAGACTCACATAGATGCGCGTTGTGTTGAAGGGACAGTCGTTGGTTGCGATGGCTGTGCGGGCGTCCGCAGGCAGCGCAGAGCTGTTGCAGCCCCTGACCAGGTGTGTGCCCCGGCCGTGCACCGTGAGGGCGATGGCCAGTGCCAGCCCCACGCTACACGCGGTGGACAGGAGGCAGTTCAGCAGGGACACGCTCAGCAGGGTCCAGTGCTGCAGGCAAGAACACCCGACTGGGGCTCGCCCAAGATGGGGGAAATGCCAGGGCCCGGCACCCCCATCTCTGCAGAGCTGCTCTGCAGGGTCGCGGGCGTGCTGGGAACCCGGCAGACATCTGCTCCGACATCCTGCCTCTTCCAGGACGGCTCGTTGCCCGCGGATGAGCGTCTCTCACCTTTCACATCCTTCACCCCCTGTGAGCTCGGCGCCACCGGACGCCCCCTCTCACGGGCTCCGTGGGGAGCCCAGCACGGGCCCCACTCGGCAGAGCGCTGGGACCCCCCCGCCGCAGCTCAGCCCCGCGCCCCCCGCTCCGTGTCCGCCCCCCCTCAGCCCATGAGGGACCCCGGCGCGGCTGCAGCTTCACCCACCGAGGCGCTCCCGCCCTCCCAGGGCCGCCGGCGGGGCCGAGCCGGGCAGAGGCGACACCCGCAGCCCCGGCAGCCGCCGCCGAGGCGGAAGGAGCCCGCGGGGCCAAGGTCCAGGGGAGCGGCCGTGGGCGAGGCAGGGCCGTGCCGAGGCCCCCGGCCCGCTCGGCCCCGCAGCCCCGCACTCACCAGGACCGCCCGGGACAGATTGTGCGACACCAGGATGGCGACGATGCCGGCGGCGATGCTCTGCGGGGAGACCCGCGCTCAGCAGGGGCCGGGCAGGGCCCACCGTCCCCCGCCCGGCCCCTGCTGAGCGCTCACCAGCAGCCCCGAGCACACCGACACCACGTTGGCCGCCGCGTACTCCGGGGTGACGGCTCGGCGGGCGCCGGCCACGTGCCGCAGGACCGAGCCGTGCACGATGGCGCCCAGCACCAGGCTGCCGTGGCCCAGCACGATCAGCCCCAGCCCCGAACGCATCAGCCGCCGCGGCTCCGCCAGCGCCCCCGGCCCCCGCCGTCCCCCGGCCATGGCCGCCGCCACCGCCGCCCTCGCACCGCCCCGGGGCAGGGACGGGCGGCCCCGGCCCGCCCCGCCCGGAAAGAGGCGGCACTCGCGTATTTACAAAACAGTTTATTAAAAATAGGAAATGATAGAAATGAGATGCAGGAGCCGCGGCTCAGCCCCGCCACGCGCCGGGACGGGGCGACGGGGCCGCTGCAGCCCCCGCAGCCCCGGGAGCCCGCGGGGCCCGCAGGGAGAGCGGGGGGCTGCCAGGGCCGCGGGGCCACAGCCCGGGGCCGGCTCACGCCGCGGCCCCGGGCGGGTGCGAACCAGTAAACAAAGTGCAGCCGGGGGCGGGAGCGAAGCGCCGGGCAGGGTGGGGAGCCCGGCCACCCCCGGGCCCCGCGGCCCGGGAACGGGGGGGGGGAGTGACGGGGGGTGCAGATGAGGGCGGGGCATAGGGGCTCACCCCTGCTTACCTTTAAATTAAAACAAGGGGAAAAAAAAAAAAAAAAAAAAAAAAAAAAAAAAAAAAAAAAAAAAAACATTTCGGTGCTGTGCAAAAGACACTTTGTACAATTCAAACAGAACAAACTCCATGCACATGAGTGGGGCTGCAGAACACCCCGAGCCAGGCCTCAGCTCTGCAGCATGACCTGGGCAAAATCCCAACAAAAACAGGGCTGGAAATAATACTGATGCGCAAAGTCCCCTTTAGAGGCGGGCAGGGAGGACTGTCACTGAGCCCAGCCACGGCACATGCAGGATGAGCTTCCAAGCACTGCAGCTGGGGTCTTGCGGATGCCCGACAGTGGTGGGCAGACACAGAGGGGTCGCAGGCAGCGAGGCCGCGCTGGCCGCCCGGGAGCCGTGGGGCTAAGATGACACGGTCACTGCCGTCAGGGATCCATTCCGAGTGTAGTAGAACTTGCTAAACGCCTCTTCAAGTAAACAGGTGAGTCTGCTCTGGTCAGCCTGGGGAGAACAAGGACAATTAAGGGTAGGCCCTGTCCACTGAAAGCTGAGAGCTTGGCTGGAGCCCCCCAGGGCAGGGACATGGCTTATTCCTCCTGCCTCCCCATCAGAAAAGGGTTGATCTGGCCTAAATCATTGAACTTTGAGAAAGGAATACAGGCCTATAGCTCTACCTGAGCCCCTGCTTACCTCGCTGATGAATCCAAGCTGGACCAGTTCAGCCGCCAGCTCCTGGATGTTGTCATCTGCAACACAAGGAAGGGTGTCAGTCCCCAGTCCGAACACACTGCTGGCCCCAGTGCACCTCAGCACGGTCAGAAGGCTATTTACTGGGCTGAAGAAGGTACTTACTGGGCTGCAGGTCACAGCTCAAGTGTCGATTCAACTTGTCTTCCAGTTTCAGCAGCAGTGTCAGCTGTGGGGCACAGAAGTTCTCATGAGGGACTGCAGTCCTGCAGGCTGCCACGGCCGGCCCAAAGCATCCCCAGAAATGCCCCCCAGGACGGGAACCACCCCTCCAGAGCCCCACAGGGGTCCGACAGAGCAGCCTCAGCCAGTTTCGTCCCGAACCACGGCTGGCAGCACCATCCCACACAGGAAGCCTGGACCTGGGGGTGGGCTGAGGTCACAGGTCAGTGGCTGGCACAGCCCAAGTCGGGCTCTGGGTCCCGACAGCGGCAGCTGTGGCAGCACAGGGTCCTCCCAGGTACCAGCAGCACATCAGAGCCATGAGCTCTGCACGGCTGCCCTGGTCCCCCCCAGCTCAGCCAGAAGTGGGAACATACGTGGTGCTTCACCCCCTCCTCCACGGACTCGATGTTGCACTGCATCAGCACCACCTGGAACAGAGGCACAGAGGCAGTGAGTGGCTGCCTGGCTCCCCTGCCTGGGGACGGGACGGGGGAACGGAGCCCCCGGCACTCACCTTGCGTGTCTCCACCTCAGCGGGCTCTGGAGTTGGGGTTTTCACTGACGGGGGAGCAATGGGAGATTTCACCACGACCTGCTGAGGCTGCTGGGGCCGCGGCATCCCAAAAGCTGTGAGGGGGTAGATTCCGTTCCTACAAGAAAGGAGCAGGATCTGTCAGAGACTGAAACAGTTAATGATTTATGCATTCCGGGAGTTTGCAGGTTTTGACTTTTGCCCTAAAAAGGCAAGGAGATGCCTCAGGTGGACTAAGCCCTAAAAAGGCAAGGAGTTGCCTCAGAGGGGCTAAGCCCTAAAAGGCAAGAAGACACCTCAGGTGGCCAGTCGGGCCCATCCCTCCCTCCAGTGCTAAGCCCTAAAAGGCAAACAACCCCTCATGCCAGGGAGGTGCAAAAGCATGCTGAGGGTATATAAACTGACTGGTGACTTTGAGAATTT